CGATTGGAATTCGTAGCTTCATCGCCGGAGAGAAACGAGCTCAATTTCGGAGATTCGAAGACGTCTCTGTGTTTTCTGGAAGAGAAGAGGATTCAGAGAGGAGGAGAAGTTGACAAGTTCTACGTTGACTTTTTTTCAACTATGTTCGGTAAGAATATTAGTTTAATTTAGTGATTTTTAATTATTTGAGGAATTTCTTAATTTTAAAACAGAGATCAATTAAAGCAATCAGGTAGCTGCTGGAATTTTAAAAGTCTTTGGTCAAGCAAGAAGAAGACAGAGTAATGAAGAGACCGCCATTTTTTGTAATGTGAACGCAAACGCATCATCTGTATACAGTTGGTAAATTAAATGATTTTTTAGTTTATTAAAATTCGTTTTTGATATGCCTTGTTTACATTTTGAATTCGATATGTAACACTAAATATTTATAGCAAAATCAGGTCAATGCCTACTAATATTGGCTCAAAAAAAAATAGATCAATTAATTCTCAATTTGATCCAAAAGATATTAATTGAAAAAATAATTATACAAGTCGGTCGTTTTCTCTCAAGAACCATACCAATAGTTTCTTACAAGACATATGTTTGCCTATTCCCCCTTATAAAACAAGATCAAAGCAACTAGAAAAATTTGTTAAAAAGAAAGTATTCAGTGATGAGAATTGAAATACACTTCCTTCACACTCCTCTCTAATTCAATCACATTTCCGAAAACCTTCTGTGTTGCCTCAAGAAAAAAACCGATTCCAGATTGCTCCAAACAACTCAATCTGTCTCGTTACCATTTGAAGCATAGGCTGATAAAAAAAACAGAGCAGAAACCATTTTACTCAGAGCTGCTTGCAAGATTAACCGAATTCACAAATCTTGGAACCATCACCGCCTCGTTCGCCAAATCCTCTAACCGCTTCCACGTCCTTTCCCGTTTCGCCTTAACCTCCGTTTGACTCTCTTCTTCCACTTGAAACTTAGCCAAACACTCATCAAACAGCACCTGGTCAATATCGCTAAACACTTTCCTCACGTTTATCGTCAGACTCTGAACAGCTTGGTTCCAATGTCCACGCGTGTTCCTCTCAAGAGCCGGGAACACTATAGGCATTATCACTTTATAATTCTGTGTGATCAAAGTTCTTATATGATCATTGTTCCATAGAAACAACGCTCTCTCAGCAACCTAACCAAACAACAAAAAGCACACAACACTTCCTTATCATTACAAGAACTCATCAAGAAAACATGATCAAACCAAACTAAACCAAACCAAAGAGACTCAAACCTGAAAATGCGAACTGTTGAGGCAACGAGCGATCCGTCGAAAAAGCAAAACCATACAACGCTGAAACTCAGCAGCTTGCGTAGCTTCCAAGACTTCTTCCAACTCGCCAAGAAACATCACTTCTTTCGAGCTGTTAGTCACAGGCCAATACTTCAACAGCCCTCTGATCACAGTATCAGAGAGCTTGAAGTCCTTCTCCACAAACTGAACAATGCAATACGAAAGCTGCTGGTGATACACGGACGAGCATTTCGCCTTGTGAAGCGGAATCAACGCTCTCACAAGGAAAAGCTTATGCTCTTCTTTCAACGGCAGAGCGAATCCGTTAATTATACTTCCAAGAATCTCTAATAACTCCGCTATACCGCTATGCTTCTCTGTCTCGGATATGAATCTGTAGAAGATGTTGTTTATCGCCTTTCGTATATAAGGCCGATGCACCATGAACTTCCCGTAGACACGATGTAAGATCGTTTTCAGATACTCTCTCTCTCGTTGGTCTTCGGAGTCAAACAAGTCTAGGAGCTTTAACACGAAGGAATGGTCGATGTAACGCTTCGCGAGCTTGGCGTCTGTCATTGGAGACGCGACGAATCGTAGGAGGATCTCGTAGACGACTTGAATGTGAGGCCAAGCTGGCTCTAGAGAAGGCTCCTCGTCGTCTACAACATCGTGCGTTTCGAGGACTTTACTCTCGTGGTTCGCTGATGGGAACGTTCTGAAGAGATTTACAGAGACCATCTTCGTGAGCTCTTGCATTGTGACGTCGTTGAACTTGGCGCCGACGGATGCGATGTAGTCGACGAGCTCGAGTAAAGTCTGCCGCTTTATCTCCTTCTCTTTGAGGTTCTTTGAATGGTCGGTGAAATCGAAGACGACGCAGCACATGGTCAGTTTCCCGATGAAGAGGTTTGGTTTGTCAGAGAGAGGAACGTCTCTGAAGCTTGGTAACGGCTCGTATGCACTAGGTTGAGTCTTGGTCGTTGTCTTGTTAGGAGCAATAGTGCCATTTGATGATGATTTGGAAGATGTTGAAGAAGGTTTGGAGATGTTAGTGGTCGAATTTGGGGCGTAGTAGGAGTTCACAGCTGCTTCACCACTACCGTTCGAGTCATTTTGCAATGATTTCGAAGTCTTTCTGGGCAATTTCCCAAATATCTGTTTGATCATATTGGCACTAAATTGATCCAAAGCCAGCTCTAAGCATAACAGATTCGCCGAATGAAAAAAAACCCTAATTTTTCAGTACCCTGAACCGAAAATCACAAGAGAGATGGTAGCGTATCAGAATGAGATTTGGAGAAGAACAAAACTAAGAAATGGAATTTGGAGAGATAAGAGACGAATTAAGAGCTTACATTTCGCAGATGAGTGTGAAGAGGAGATCCCGAGAAGAGGAAATCAAATAAAGTTACAAGCTTTTTAGCAAAAAAGGATCTGGTGATAAGCCCTGTTAAGAAAAGGCTGCTCCTTTCTCCGCTGGAATTGAATCGAGCGAGAGAGAGAAGAAGGTAGGAGAAGAAAAGGGGGAAAAAGGAGCAGACGAAATCCAGACAGAACTAAAAAAAAATCTGTAAGAAAAAGGGAACAAAATTAAGAGAGATTTAAGGTTGTAATGAACGAAAATATTGAAGAGATTAAAGATCAAAACTAATCGTCTCTCTCTCCCTTATCCCCTCTCAACGGATTTTTTACAGTAAATCCATTTACACTAATCTTCTGAGCTCTCTGATCCAATTACAACCTTGAACATCCAGATATTTTCAATATTCAATGTTTTTTTTCTTTGTAACAAAAAAAAAGGGAGAACAGAGCGAAAAAAAAATCAACAACATGGACACGCACGGTTTTGACAGAGTGGCGGCAGGTGAGTCAAAAGTCAAAACTTACCCATTTAACAAAGTAAACGGAACACTAATTGGTCTATTCCTATAAATATCCAATCAGATTTTTTTTTTTTTTTTTTATATATAACTGACGATTGAAACTGATTCTATCGGTCAAATTGTAGTTTACACCGATTTTTTTTTTCTTTCTCTATTGAAGTAAAAATCAAGGAAAACAAATCGTTGACGGATGATCCAAGTCAAAGATGAGTCAAACACTTCAAGACTTAGAGAAAATACAATTAAAAAAAATCAGAAGAGAGTTTCTAATGAAACGTAACTAAAAAAGTTGATTATGTACTTCAATAAAAAACAGAAAGTAGCTAGAATTTCTGGATGATGACACAGTTGTAGATGCCAGCATTCTCGAGGGTTTGGTCAAAATCAGGTAGTGGTTTAGGAGGACATCCCATGATGAGTAATTGGTAGTCTTTGGAGCCACCTGGTCTATACGCGTCTATGAAACCTCGGACGTCTCTAACGGTGTGATGAGTATTAAACCGGGAGACCAAACGTGTGCCGTCTGCTAGCCTGAAATGGATCAAGGTTGTTGGCGCTGCGGGATCTAACACTAGGTCCACTGATGGTGGCAGTGTAGTGGTTAGTGAGTCGGATGAAATTGGTGGCTCAGTAGAGACACAGTCTGGTTCGGCTACAGTTCTTCCAACGCCGTGGAATGGAGTTCTCGGTTGTGGTGACTCCTGAAATAAGAATAAGAGTTTAGACTTGACCAACTCGGAAGGGAGATGTTGAAGAATCGACCTAGATTCTCTTCCGGATTTGATGCTGCGATTGCAATAAGAAGAAAGAAAGTAGAACCAAGATAGAATCAACACAGAGAATTTTTGGTAACCCAGGAGTTCCTTACATACTCTCCTGGGGCACGGCAACGCCGGCAACTTTTTACTAGAACGGAATCTCTATCTCTTTGTGCCTCTCTCTCTAACTCTCCGATCTGTTACAACGATGATCTCAGATCTTCTCTCTTTTGGTTTCTAGAAACTCTCTTGACCTTATATAATTGGCCGGTACAAGATTATTCTCTCACCCGTGTATCATAACCAGATGCACACTTCAATGGTTAAGCTAAAACCAGCTAACCCAAACCCAATCAAACCGAGGCACAAAGAGATAGTATTAAACGTACATATGATTCAGAACATAACCTCTTCAAATCTCCACCTTGTTCTGCATCATATGATCCGCTCTAGCTTTGATGAGTTATCAATCACCACTCATCCTTGAACATAAACTTGTTCTGCTTTGACCAACTGGTCTTGAATCTTCTTCTTCTCAGCTTAGATCTTAAGTGAAACTTCACTTCTGGTGACATGAGCAGAAACTTGCTCCACCTCCTGAGAAACTCCTCCCAGCTTCAGATCTTCTGAGAAAATACTCTGCTTCATATCTTCATGAGTAAACCCACTCAACTTTGAGCTTCTCCGCTCAACTTTGGACTTTACCGTCCTTCATCTTCCAATAACTTGAAGCATCTTCAACGCTTCTTTGAAACTTGCTTCCTCTAACATCTTTAGTCAACATATCCTGATCCAACTTGAAGATTTCCCGTATCTGCTTCCTTTAAGTTTAGCTCATAACCCAGACAACTTCAATCTTCAGCACTTGATCAACAATCAGTAAGCCAGACATAAAACTCAATGAATTCTAGCTGTGAATCCTCACTGCCTTTCCCGAACCATTAACATCCTCATGTCTTCTTAAGTTGTATAGCTTTCACTAACACAGCCATGTGTTACACCCAACTTCTCACTGAATCTTCTGTGGCGCTTTCCATATCCTGGAAACTTGAGATGACCACTTGAGCAACACCGTCAATAGAAAAACTCTCCATAGGCTTCACCTTTAACTAGTATGGTTGGCCTGTGAGTCTTTTTCCATGACTGAGATCCACCGATGACAACTAATGCCATAAAACTTGTTGCTGCAACTGAAATCACCAAACATTCTGCCCAGAAACTTGACTCCATGCTATCTTGAAACAACTGACGAATCTGAAGCACCTCTGCTTCTAACCAGAAGCATTGCTTGAACACAATACACTTGAACATCACTCTGCACCGCTGCTGTTGCCAACAGAACACGCCGCCTAACTCCACCCGGTTAAGAAGACTTTCGATACAGAGAATCTCTGCTCAACTCTGCTCAAACTGTAACCTGCTTCAGCAAAACCTCAACCAACAAATTTTGACCACCTGCTGATTTCTTTATCTCTGCCTCTTACTCACAAAACCTGTGGCTTTCCCTGAGACACTTTTGATGTAGACATAACCTGCAATACCTTTAACCGCATACAGACTTCACCAAAACTTGGAACCTTGAGGTAGCTCTGCAACACTTGCTCTTGACTCTTTGAAAAACTCTCTGAATCTAGCATTCCACAAACAGATACTAACCAACCGTGAATGTCTGTTGTTGCTTATCTTTGAGTAACTTTACTTTGTAGAACTCGAGCATACACTGAAGTTGCTCCACCTTGAACTGTGTCTTCCCTTTCTCTGTTAAGAACTGCAAAATCAAAACTTAAAATTTTGTTAGATAATAACTGATCATACCTGTTTTGATTCTGCTTTGATGTATTTGAAGAACACATGATCACTGACAAGTGATGACACACTCCTCACAAAGTCTTTATACTCCAACTGTTTAGAGCCTTGCGTGAGCTTTAAACCTCTTGACATTTTTCTGCACTTGGCTTTCTTTTCTTCTTACCACACTGAACCAACCTGAATCTTTGTGACCCTTCTCGTGAAAGTTCACAAGTCCTCAAACCATTAACAAACTTGAAATATCCTGAGAACCCTTCTGAAATGACCAATGTCTCACTTGGAGTCAAAAAACATCTGATGATGTGCGCTACAGTACCTCTGTAGAGACAAGACTCCACCTGAAACAATAACCTTTCTGGCCTCATTGTGATTCTCACACTTATCTTCACTTCTACGAGATAAACCTTTCTGCACTTTCATTCTTGATCCATTTGCTGTTCTGTGTAACCCATTTGTTAACCATGGCTTCTTAATTTGAACTGTATGTCAGACCTTATGACATATTTATCTTCATTTTCCAGCCACTTCAACAAATCACTTATACAAGAAGATCCCACCAAGCGCTTTACTTCTCTGAAGTTTCCCCAATATGATTTGTAACACCAAACTGAATAGGCATTGACTGTCTTCACTATGCTGTACCTTGTTATAACCACTGACATCTTGATTTTCTTCACATAGCTCTGAAATTGACTTACCAGAACTAGTGCCACGTTCTCCAAATATCTCAAATGCTCCACCATTCTTTTACAGAAATATCAAGCTGTCATGAAATGATATTTCTGCGATTCTCCTTTGAATAAACCCTGAGCAATGATCCGAGACTTCTTACGCAGACTTGAACCTTGAATCTTTCATGTCCAGATGAACCATAACCAGCATAACTATCCTCATTGGACTCTTTTACACAATCACAAGAACCATAAAACTGCTTCTCCTTCTTGGATTATGTAAAAGGAAAAATGACTTCTCCTTGAGCTTTATCAAGAGTCCATCACCTGTAGTCTTCTGCAGAAACGCCTTGAGAGAACTACTGAAACTCTTAGCACGACCTTGCCTTTGTCACTCACTATACCTCACAGAAGCTATCAACTGCTATTACCCCAAATAACCTTTGTTCCAGCAAATAACCTTTGCTCCGACTGCTTCCTTCTTGAGGTAACTTGATGACTCTCCAAAACTCTCTAATGAGCCTTGACTGGTTCATTTATGGAGAAAAAACGTCCATATGAGGTTCCAACAGATTTACATCTGTTTCTGCACATTACTGTCACTGGATAAACAACATCATACTTAACAGCCTGAATCCATTTTAATGGAGATAAACCTTGCTGCTACAAGCTCCACAACGATGATCTTTTCCGTTGATCATCACAACCTGAGCTTCTCAGATTCTTGAGAATCTGACCCTTATAATCTGAGACTGTACCTGCAACCAAACCTCTCTGAAATCTGAACAAACCCTGAATCTTCAAATCTCTGAACCTGACTTTCTCTGAAAAACTGAACCTGTCATACTTTCCTGCAACTCCCGTTTAACCTGAATCCTGGAACCTTGAAACTGATTTTCAAATAGCCTTTGACACACATACCAATCCCACCTCTAAAGCGTCCTCTAGACCTGAGATTTATAAGCTCCACCAATTGCCATTCTCTGAAACTTTCTGAACCACAACATCATCCATCTTCTACAAACAAACTGACCAAGACACAATCTGACCCAGACCTGAGGCTTGACCATTCCTTTTGCAAAGATAAAATCCATTCCTTGTGATCTAGCTAGATTCCATTCCTTACTTTATGCAGGACATGACTAACCAGAGAACAAGCCATTAAACCATCACAGAGATACCTTGTGACTGCAGCGGATTGAGACTCATTGTCTCCAAGATTTGATCCTTGAGAATTGATGAGACCATTCTGATTTTACAGCCTTGAGCCAACAAACCTGACTCTCCTTTCTTGTTCTGAATCAACCTTCAAAACCACTGAGATCTTCACTTCACATCAACCTCATTCAATGTATAAACTGCAGATTCTTCTTTGAGTGTTCTCTTGCTTCAATCTCTTGAATGTGCTCTTCTTTAGATTTTAACATCATCACCTGTGAATCTCTAAACCCAGAATTCAGATGACATATAACTCTTAGAGCCTGCAGAGAGAGAGATTAACTTAATGCTTCTCTGATTTCACAAACCAGAAACCATTTGATCCGATTGAATCAAACTCGGTGAAATTTCTTTCCTCCAATTTTGGCGTCTTCTGCTAAGAACAACCACGATCATCTTCTTCCTTCGCTCTCGACAACCCAGAACTTGCAACATCTTCTGATTCTGATTTCCTTGAAACGCTATGTTGCTCAAAACTTCAAATCCTTCGTGCGTCTTGTCGAGTCGTGATGACTGCATAATAAGAATCCTTCGATTCCTTTCCACATTTCCTTATGAATCGCTCTTCCTTACTTCACCGACGAGATTCTTTCCGATGAAGCTCTGCCTATCGATTCCGCATCGCCGATTCAGCTCCACCCGAGCTGCTTCACTACCAAATCCAATTAATCGCCAGAACCTGGCTCTGCTACCAATTGTTGAAGAATCGACCTAGATTCTCTTCCGGATTTGATGCTGCGATTGCAATAAGAAGAAAGAAAGTAGAACCAAGATAGAATCAACACAGAGAATTTTTGGTAACCCAGGAGTTCCTTACGTACTCTCCTGGGGCACGGCAACGCCGGCAACTTTTTACTAGAACGGAATCTCTATCTCTCTGTGCCTCTCTCTCTAACTCTCCGATCTGTTACAACGATGATCTCAGATCTTCTCTCTTTTGGTTTCTAGAAACTCTTTTGACCTTATATAATTGGCCGGTACAAGATTATTCTCTCACCCGTGTATCATAACCAGATGCACACTTCAATGGTTAAGCTAAAACCAGCTAACCCAAACCCAATCAAACCGAGGCACAAAGAGATAGTATTAAACGTACATATGATTCAGAACATAACCTCTTCAGGAGAAGATAGAGCAAACGAGTCAGTGGCGAAGCCACTTGAAGCTATAAGGGGTCAATTGACACCCTATTTTTTTGTAAAAGTTAAATATTAGTCTAAATTGTTTGTTTTTTACAAAGAAATGGTAAGAAAAATGTCATTGACCCCGTGAAAATATGTGTTAAATCTCAACATGACCCCGGTAAATAAAAGTTCTAGATTCGCCAGTGGATATACATATAAATATACATACCGGGAAGTCTAAACTCATACGTTCCTTAGGATATTGCACGATCGTCCCACTAAACAGTAAACACATTCAAAACATTAATTTGTTAGCTAAACGAAACAGCAAGCTTGACCTAAAAGACCAACCAAAACCTATCACCTAAAAGAGGATCTAGTTTCCTACAAATTCCAATTTCACCAAATACTTAAAAGATAAGGAAGCTCGAAGAGACAATTACCTTTGAGTTCCTCCATTATAATACTCTTGCTCTTGCGTTTCTTCTGAATCGCTATGAGTTCCGGAGATATCAAGGAGCGTAAAGAAATTATTAGCTAAAGAGACATCAAGTGGAGAAAGAGATGAAACAGGGATATCGATTGGAAAATTCGAATAACGAATTCTAGCATCGAGGATTTGTTGGACGTTAGGGATAAAGACATGTGACTCGGTGGCTTCAGCTTCATTGTACGCAGTGAAGTTCGAGAAGGCAGTGTCGTGATCCCATTGATGAGTTTCAAAATACGATTTAGGTAATTCTCTCAACAGTTTCTCTATAAGCAAGTTATCATCCATCGCAAGAGATCTTTCTTTCCCAATCTTTCTTCTGGAACTCAAAACTTTCTGTTTATCCTCAGAAATCAGAATCCCTAAAAAAGATCTATAAAACCCTTCGAATCCCTAAAAAAGTGGAAACGTTTCGATTTAATAGATTTAAAGAGCAAAAGAAATAAGAAAAAAACATTATATTAGTTTTAAAATTTTACAAACATAACAATTCAAACTATATATACAAACAGTAATTCTATCCAGTAATTCTTCTATTTCAACAAAATACAAATCTTCAAAGCAAAATCAATAAAACACCTTTTATTCAGATTTTTTTTTTTTTTTTTTATAAGCTTTCAAAAATTCAGCAAGATTAAAATGTTATTTCTTATACGCAAGTTTCAAAATTTATAACAAAAAAACTGTGACATGAATAAAGGTATTTCTTCAAAGCAATAACAAGCAAAATCTTTACCAGTGCTTTAATGTTCCCTTTTCGTATATAAACATTCAGCAAGTATACAATATTTGTCAAATTGAATCAAGGAAAACAAAGCCTTGACCGATGGTCCGAGTCAACGAGGGTCAGACACTTCAAAGACTAGTCTAGGAAAGAAAAAGGGTCAACAAAAGTTTCTGATGCTATATGTACAGAAAGATATATAAATAAATAAAAAAGGGTCAGAACTTCTGGATGAGCACAGCGTTACTAATCCCAACGTCCTCGATGGTCTGGTCGCAGTCGTTAGGAAATGGTTTAGGTGGAGAGTCCATGATGAGTAGCTGGTAATTTTTGGAGCCACCTTGTGTAACGGAGTCTATGAAGTCTCGTATATCTCTGATTGGTTTGGTTAGTGTTAAACCGAGAGATGATCCGTGTGCCGTCCGCTAATCTAAGTCCGTTTACGAAAACGTCGTTTCTTTTTCCGGTGAAAGTTGAAAAGGAAGACTTCTCTTATAAGGAGTAAGAAACGCAGCGTTTCTCTTAAAAGAGTGTACGAAACGCAGCGTTTCTCTTAAAAGAGTGCGAAACGCAGCGTTTCTATTAAAGAGTGTACGAAACGCAGCGTTTTATCGAATTGCAATCCAAAGAGAGTACGAAACGCAGCGTTTATAGAACTGCAATCCAAAGCCTAAACGCAGCGTTTTATTGAACTGCAATCCAAACCAAATAGCGCCTACAACATATTCCTCCAAATTTTTCTATTACATACACACAAATACACACAATATAACAAAATCAAATCTTCAAAGCAATAATAACATGCAAAATGGATTAAAGCTACAAATCTCTGTTTGTTTAAGGAATGTCCTTAAGCTCAAACTCAGTTTTTTTCTCCTTCTCGTTCTCTTTCTCCATCGCCATCTCTTTCTCCACCGAATCATCACTATTGCCAACACTAATCACACCAGCTTTATACTGATGCCTCATCGCAAACACAAGAAAGATCAAGAAATTCAATGCTCCCAAGACAACAAGCAACCAGTAGAAGTAGTTCAGTCTCCCTTTGTTGAGGTTGCTCCTAAGCCATCTCTTGTGCGTAACTTTATCCACAAGCGAAACAAGCAAGCTACTCACGTAGAATCCCATCGAGATCGTGCTCAAAAACAATCCAGTACTCATCGACTTCATCCTCTCCGGGGCTTCTCTTATGAAGAACTCAAGCTGTCCAACGTAACCAAACGCTTCACCCGCACCAACCAAGAAATACTGTGGAATCAACCAAAACGCGCTTATCCTCGTGTTGTGCGTAACCGCTGCCTCGCGTCTAGCGTTCTCTATAACCGCAGCTGCCGCCATCGCAGCCATCGCGAACACAAGCCCTATCCCGATTCTCTGGAGGCTTGTGATTCCTTGAGGGTTTTTTGTGAGCCTTCTTGCTAAAGGCACAAAGACTCTCTCGTTAAGGGAAGTGAAGAGGAGGATTGTGAGGAAGAGGAACGTTGAGTAAGACCCTGAAGGAATCTTGAAAGATCCGATTTTTCGATCCATAAACGTGGCTTGTTCCACAGTGAAAGTCGTCATTTGTGAGTAAATCGTCCAGAAGAGAATGTTTGTTGCCCAAATCGGAATCAGTTTCACAACGAGTTTCACTTCTTCAACTTGTGTAACTGTCGATACGATCCATGGATCTTCTTTCGAGCCACGAGAGCTTTTGTCTTCGTTCACGACAATCGCAGCTTTGTCTAAACACTTTAGCCTCTCCGTGTGTGGAACCGTCGTGTTGTCGAAACCGTTTAAGAGACTCGGATGCGGAGGGTAACTTTCTTTTCTTTTCTTCCACGACAAGAAACAAACCCTCCATATAACGGTAAAAGGGCTTCCTTTAGGTTTCTTGTAACGGTACAGTTTCGTCCCGCAGAGCAAAACCACAGCCGCAACCACCATAGTCGCCGCCGAGATACCGTAGCCCCAGCCTCTCCCGACGTTGTCCTGAACGTAGACCAGAGCAATCACGGCGAAGAGAGATCCGATGCTGATTGAGAAGTAGAATCTGTTGAAGAAGAAAATCATCTGTTTCTCTTCCTTTGGATCGCTTGTGTCGAATTGGTCAGACCCGAAACCAGAGACGTTGGATTTGATTCCTCCTCCGCCTAGAGCTATGGTGTAGAGAGCTACGTAGAGAAGAGCTAGCTGATGACCGTTCGCTTCTACGCACTGATGGTGTTGTCTCCTGTAATCGTCGCATAGTGGTGGTCTCATGCTTGGGATGGTTGTAGCCACCGTCAAAAGCAACACTCCCTGTTTTCACAGAGACGCAGAGTCAGAGACTCAGAGCTGTTAAACGAGCTATAACCATATGATTTAGGGTTTGTTTTACCAGAGCTGTAACAGAGGCTGAGATTGCGACCATCTTGTAGCGACCGAGTTTTGCGTCAGCCAAGAAACCACCAAGAAGTCCTAAGAGGTTGAGAGTTCCCATGAAATTGGTGCTTATGGTCGCTGACTTCGCTGATGAGATGTGTAAATCTTGGACAAGGTAAGTCACTAGGTTCATCGATATGCCCATCACGCATATTCTCTCCGACAGCTCACTCCCTTTACAAAGAGAAACAAAAAACAGAGAAGGTTAGAAACAGAGAAGATTATCAAAACAGAGGATGTTAGAAACAGAGGATGGAGATTGTACCCAAGATCAAACCGGCGCCTAACCATCCTCCGGTTTTGGACTTATCTGGTGGATTTCCTCTATAGTCGAAGGCTTCTTCCGAGCCATCTTTTGCTCCGTGAGATGACACATGAACCTTTAGAGACAATCAAAACCATTAAGAACAGTGAAAACAGAGTCAACAAAAACAAAAAACAGAGACAAAGAACTTTTAGCTCACCATTGCTTATTGAGAGACTAAGAATACTGAGTCAGAGAGAGAAGAGAGAGTAGTAGAGTGGATTATAAGGAGAGCTGAGAATGGTGGTGGAGGTTGTAGCGATAAGGGTTTTTGACACTTTTGTTGGTCCTTTGATTTTATCCAACTCCAACAAAACAAAAGAAGAAATATTGAGAGGAGATTCGATTCAATGGTCATGTGAAGAGAGATGGGGACAGATTGGTCTATTTAAAATGTGGCTTTGCTTGATGTGTGGTACTTCATGGATGATCTGATCTTAAAAACAAACAGAGACGCATTGAGACAACAGTGTGATTTCACTATCTTATGACAAAGACATTTGTTTATTTCATGTGGTTGCAAGGTTTTCAGCTTCTTTGTAATTCCCCATGTCGACCCCTTCATTACTGTTTTTGTCTTTTTATATCCTTTTCTTGTGGTTGCAAGAGTTTTTTTATACCAAATCTCTTGCTCACAAAACCAAATAGGCAAATATCATACATGTATCTACCATTCAAATTGTTTTTAGTTTTAGACAAAAAAAAGATTTTTACACTTGGAAACAAAACAAATTATATTATTTGTATTGTATGTAAAACATGTGTGCAAAATGGTGGTAATCTATTGATCAACGACCTGGTCTTTTTTTGTTTTCTGAATTTACACAAGGTGTCAAGATTAATCTGTATGTTCTCTGGTATAATTTGGACCAATGTGACTTGTTAAGCACTATATAGTTATTAGTACTATCATTTCAGTATCACATGGTTCGAAAACTTCTCCATGTGTCAATCATTAGTGGGTATATTTCTTTTACACCTAATGCATACCAATTGATTGATGTGATTAGAGATGTTGTGGTGGACCAAAAACTCATGAACCAATTACTACTTAACAGTTAACTGAAAACCTGGCTAAATCTCAATAGTTCATGTACGGACTAGACCGGCTTTGTGATCACAATGTCCCTAACCGGTTTACTTCTGTTTTTATAACAAAATGTTGAAATTATTTGGAACTCGACATACAATAGACTTGATTTTCAGTTTCTAGGGATTTAAAGAGTAAGATCCACAATAAGCTACTGCTATAAGTTCTAACTTTTAAGAAAAAATACAAGACTTCAGGTGACTCGTAAGATTTGCGCATTCAAAAGCATATACGAACAAGCGAAATATGTAAAGCAAAAACATATTTTTCCCCCTTGTAGTAACAACAAAATTAAATTCGAAAGTGGCTAAATAAATGTGAATTGACAAGTTAAAAAGTCCCCGAAATGGAGGAAGATGTTTACTTTAGACAGAGAGAGCACTGATTAAAAAGCTGCACATGTTGATGAGGTGATCCATCTCAACTTGAAATGATGTTAGCAACAATAGTCAAAATACATTTTAAAGTAAGAGTTAAATATAACTTTGCTCCAATGGTTAAGGCAAAGTGGAGGAGGTTTAAGGTATACAATAGTTTTGTAACAATACTACTACAAGTTGCATCCGATCTTTGTGGACGTCATGATGATTTTATTTCACCTACACTAGGATTCTCTCTCTATTTAGAAACGTTAGCATTGGCCCTACGAAATTATGAATGTATTCACGTCAATACAAATAGTTATTTTATGTCACAAATAAAATATGTGAAAAATATTTCGATAGTTTCGAGCTTGAATCATTTTCTAGAGAACCCAAAGGTTACAGAATATCTGTGGGCTACATATATATTTAAATCATTTAGATACTTTATGAATGTTTTTTTTTTCCTCACCGCCATAGAGTTCAAATTCGTGAGCAAACAACAATTTAATATTTCTAAAATAAATACTTACACTCAATACAATGAACTGTATGTTTGATGTTCTTCTAGACTCCGGATCTTGGAGTACTATTCTTTAGTAGTATTTTTGGTATCTGATTCTAGTTTTATTCGGTTGGTTAAGTAATTAAAATGATTTAGGGTTTAGTCTTTCCAAACGAGAGATATTTCCAACCTTTTGGAAAAGGGTTTAGTGATGCTAATCAAGATATAATTATTTTATTTTAACGTGCAATTATTAAGCTTTCGTGGGACAGTCCCACTATCCACATATGTAGCCCAACCATAGCAACATCAACACGTACTCGTACAATATAATCGGATATGTTATAATAACTCGAAAGGATATTCTAAAGATTTGAAGCTTTCTTTGTGAATAATTCATATGATATGTTTGTTAGAACTTCACAGACGCATATAAGATAGATATAATATAATACAGAAGCGATATTAGTCCATCTAATCATGATCAGTCGATTTAAGTTGGAAGCTCGTGGATCTTGATATGGTAGTAGTATTTAAACAAAACTTTAGTTTTTCGTTTTTTATTTTAACTTACATGATTTAATCCACATATGCGGTAATATGACATTCTAGAAAAGGTTAAGTTGTTTTTTACTGTACAAATAGAAACTGAGAGATGTCATCATCAACTTAGATAGAAACCGAAAACAAAGCAAAAAAATCCAAAGGGATGATTGTTTTGGGAATCTATGCCAACTTTGGATGTGTCACATGTCTTTCCAAAAATAAAATAATAAGGCCACAATAATACGACGATAAGAAAGAAAATCTTGAATGACATATTGATGCCTCATTTGCCTCACCCTTTTTTCATCTCCATGCAGCGATGTATCAAAAAAAGAAAAACTCTTACTTAGTTTCTCACAATTACTATATCTGACTCCGTATTCATTCATTGTATACAGTATACACAGTGACCGTCCCTCAAAACAAAGACTTAAGCTTCTTACTAAAATATAGTGATTTTATCTCATTGAGCTAGGAAAAAAACATTAAGCTAAAACCGTAAGATTTTGTTTGTTTGTTTGATACAGAAGAAAAGAGAAAAAAAACATAAGATAATATTTAACATTTTAGGAATAAAAGTAATCTAAAAGTATATTCTTTCAACAACTCACACATATATTCTATAATATTTTAGCTTAAACATTGACATGACATGACGAAAATATTAGTACAAAGCTCCAATAATTTCAAATTCATGCAAACGTAAGAATAAAAGGTTCCAACTTTGAACCATAGCAAACCAACTAAGTATCTCAATAAAAATAGGAAGTCCGTAACTTCAAAATAATGATAACTTGTATAAAGACTTTTAGTCATAGAAAGAAAATCAAGTCACTTTCCATTACAAATTTTAATACTTTCAAATTCTTTAATTCTTAATGGAGACTACTCAAGACGATTCACAGTTCACTTTAACGACTAGTTTGACTAGATTAGTGACTTAACATATGTAAAATATGCAAGTAAGATTCATCCTCTATATAAGGTTATCATATATATATTATTATCTTTCTTATCCTTGTACCTGCAGTTTTGACCACATTTTGTCTAAATCCATATATGAAGATATATATGATAAACGTACATGTGCATTGCATCGGTTACCAAATGCAAATTGTACCTGTCAATACAAGTTAATTCTCACCTAATATCATTTTTTTCGACTTATGCTCCAAAATAAATTAACAAAACCAAACAAAACTTTAATGAAAATCCGTTTACGTGACTATTTCGTGTAGACAATTTGTTCACGCAATCTCCAAGCTTTAGCCGACCACAACTCTTTGTAGTTGAGCTTGTCGTGGCATGTGTATGTGGGCAACGTGAAACTCCTGTCCCATTTTTAATACTATGATAGATATGTATATGTGTTCACAGTGAGATACACTAACAATATAATATTGACACGTTAAGATTTTTATGGAAATTTCGATCACGTATATATTTCTATTTATATCTATGCATTTGAAGTCTAATTTCAAAATTCTCGCTCTGATGTTGTTGTATCAAAATATAAAAATAAAAATCAATATATATGGAAATACATTACTATGGGCCCACTGAAACAGCCCATTTTGTCTGCACGCAAAAATGGGCCTCACAGTTTTCTCTGATATGAGCCTATGATTGTATCATTTGTTGTGTTACCATCCAAATTCAAATTTGCATAATGAATGTTGTTGACCAAAACAAACACTCCATTTGCATAAGATTCTGATCTTTCAACCACATAAAATATATAAAATACCACAACTTGTTTATATAATAATACGACAAATAATGACATATCGTAGTTAATTAGTGCTCTAACAAAAACACAAAAGCACCAAACTTTATGAAAATAAAAGGTATCAGCTAAAAAAAAAAAAAAAAAGTGTCTGAGACAACACTGGTTAAAAAGAAGCAAACAAAGACAAGAAAATAAAAGTCGTCTTCGAAAAAGTCAAAAGGTTGTGAAGAAAAAAGGATTATTAGTTAAATGTAGATATGATTAATTTCAATAATGATTCTCAGGAATGCTTTCTAACGTAGGCCTCCAGTTTTCACCACCTAGTTCTACTTCTTCTTCTTCATAAACCCTGGAGATGTTTCTCCCACTATCTTTGAGAACATGAACCAAGTGTTGAATGGAGCTGAAACCTTTCTTGTGACCCAAGATTTGTCTAAGCTCTTCTTTTGTCACGACGACTTTGATCCTCACCACCTTAGATTCTCCTTTCATTAAGCTTTCACTTTCTTCCTCACAGCGACTCACTTCTTCTTCCCATAACTTAACCGGCGACTCGGGTTCAAGATCGTTTTTCTCTTCTCCGGCAAGGCCATTGTCGTGTCGCAGGCAGTTCCCCATTGATATGTTTTCGATGAATATAGTATAAATAAAAAGAGAGAGAGACATGAAATTGTGAGCGTTTGAGTGTATATATACAATTGAGAAGGAGAGAGACAGCACATGCAGAGAAGCGATTTATGCGCCGGAGCATTTGCAAAGAGAAAGTGAGGTCTGAATTTTTCTTTTGTATTGGTGACTTGGTGTCGTAATTATTCTCTTGGATGTTCTGTCATAACACGGTATATAATCTATATTTTATATAATTATGTAAACTATATAGTTACACATATAATGAATCACATTGGTGGATTGTTCTTTGATCATGTGTTTTGTCTTCTCACTGTTGCCTGGGTGAGAATATAATATAATTCTGCATTGTAATGAAAGGACTCTAAAAAAAAGAGGAATTTAAGTGTAATTCGTTCATTCATCCGACAAGAAAATGAATTGTAATTGAACGTAGTTTTTCAATTAATTAATAGTTTTAAGTTTTTAGATAGCAATACGAACGGATGTCAAAAAAAAATAGCAATACGAACGAATTCGATAATTTTAGAAAGGTTTCCTCTTACGAATTGATGTGTCATGCTTGTGTCAGCATAATTGATCAGTTCAAATCTAATATCGAGGTTTCTTTTTACTTCCGCTCAACATTATCGAAGGTAAAAAACTCTAATTTTATTTTGCCCTTTTATAATTCAAACTTTAATGTCGTAGAAATGTGGACGAAGTATGGCTGTATGGGTTAGGTAGGTCTTGCAAGCTCACAAATCATAGCATCTTTTAGTTATTTGTTACTAGTTCATAATTTGGGGACCAAACTAATTAAATGAAAATTTCGAGTACTTATTAGATTTTAATGCAACTTATAAAACTGCTGTCTATAGCCTTGGTAATCCAGTTGTCGAAATATCAACTATCCGGATGTTGAGACTTTTGACGTAAAGGCGTAAAATAAATAATATTTCTCTATGCATAACATCATCACACTCCGAGTCTAGGTCCAAATTTCAATGAAATAGTCCTCTCTCTAATGTTGGAGTTTAACCATTTTTAATACTATGGTTTATGATCAATCAAACTTTCGAAGATATATATTTTAGGACTAAAAGTTTGGTGTAACGTCCATATCCATCAACGATGATTTGTGATTATTTAAGAGCAAATCAAATCGTTGTCGAAATAAGGCCAAATCAAATACAATTCTAACCGCCAATCTCTTTTCTTATAATAGACCTCGACATATACTAATGAAGGAAATTCCACGAACTCAAAATTATTAAAGCCACTTAAACAAATTGTAAACTCGAAACTACAAATATCTTTATGTGCATTTTTGTAACTTTTATTTGAACAAATAATATAGATTGACGTACGTATATGTAGAAAATATAATGGTCCATGCATTGCTATACGATCGAAGAAAGAAAAATAGAGGCCGAAACGCGGAATAGAGCTGACAATTCGTACAGAGTATCCTCCACATGGGATTGAGTCAATTTCACAATAATTTTCATGTCACTTTAGAGCTCATTGCATGTGAATAACATGGAGCATCCATTAATTCAGTACATCGTCTCATTCTTTTCTTTGAAGATTATAGTTCTGACTAAATAGCATAATATTTAGCTATTAGATGGTTATTTCGCTCCATGTAGACACATTAGAAAATTGTTAAGTTTAAGACTATTATTGGTTGACAAAAAGAATAGAAAAGATTGTGGTTATGAAGACTAACAAACTTAAACGACTATAGATGCTATACATGGCAGACATATGGATGATGAAAACTTGTTTTGTTTCACTTCTTGTAAACAATTTATTAATGTTAGAGTTCTAAATTTAACATCGATGAGACATTTTTGTCAATAATTGGGTGGGCACTTTTATTTTAGATGTAGAGCTAATATGGGCTTTAAATAGATATGTAACGAGACCTTTTCGGACCAGTTCATGATAATGCATTTATTTGCCCTTAAAGTAGTTTTTATCGCGAGACATGTGAACAGATCAGAATTACCATTATTTATCCATTTACAGTCCATTCTCTATTGACGATGACTTAAAGCGACGCAGCTTGCATGATTGCCTCAGGCAGGACCTTTTTTCTTCTCAATGATTTGTCTCTTTAAACTGTTAGAAGATTTTTGTTTGTCACTTCCATTTAAGCTTTTTGACGTTTTGTTAACTTTAAGCTGATTTTTTTGTGAGAAAAAAAAGTACGCTTCTCTTTCATTCCCTACGTACAACTATGGAAAGAAAAGAAAAAACTAGAGAAAAAAAATCAAATAAACTATATATATACCTTGAGGCTTGAACGTTGGTTTAAGATTTAATACCACAAATACCAAATAGCTAAAAATTAACATCCTAGTAAATAAAACACAAAGCGTATGTAGCTCTATCGGTGGTATCTTCAAATTTGCACCTAAAAGCTTTATCGGTCGTTGTTACCTTTCAAATGAGGTGGTGCTCCATAAACTAGAGCTCGAACCTGGGATGAGATTGATTTCAACGTTGATAGAGAGTTGCATAATTTTTGGCGAAAAACTCTTCAATTAACTAAATTTAAATTATATCTTTAAAAAAAAAAACTAAATTTAGATTATGAAAAAAACCTAGTCACAAAAGTTCGTAAACATTTAGATATTTTGTTCGTATTCTCCTTCATAGAACACTCTTCCATGCATATGGGATTGATATTAACACTCCCAGCAAGAAGAATCCTCCAATAGGCCCTAGGCAACGAAGAAGATAGCTACAGCACTGCAAGGGGTTGGTTATCAAGTACTGAACGTCTCTAATTCAATGTTGGCACTGACTCTTTATCATCAATGCTGGTACCAACTACTATGTTGGTTGGGGTTTATTACTTTCATCTAGAATTTTCCATCAAATCAAGGCTGTCCACACTTCCATTGATTTTTGTGGTAAATTAAGGAAACACTATACATACTTCCCAAAATCAGTCTTGCCCAATTTTCTCTATCTAATACATAGTTAAGTTGCCAAAGTAGACTTTCCTAAAGAATCCATCAAACAACTATCATTCAGTTATGTTGATATATAATCGGTAAGATTTTTTTTACCACTTTGCTCTCTTGTCCCTCTTTGGCTATACCGGTTTATCAATAGGATCCGTGCACCCGTTACTGCAACATTAAAAGATTACCGATTAAAGCCGGTGCACATGTGCAGAAGAAGCCTGTTAAGACATTGTCATAATAATCTACACGAGAAAAGAGAAAAAGGAGATGTTGAGAAAATGAAAATCTATGCGCAGCAAATGCTTATGCAGTGGTGGTAGTCCTGGCTATTAGGATAATATTTGTTGATCCAAGTGATGATGTCTTCGAAATATTTTTGGGTGTGTGCGCATTTCATCATAGGATATGAAACTAAGCCACTAAACATTTAATCTCTTAGAATTTTACGCTGAATATATATGTTGCGTTTCTGAGACTTCAAGCTTTCGAAAACAAAACAACATTTCCCTGATGGCACATGATTTGAAAAACGACAACATAGCTTTACCGACCTATAACTATTTTTGTAATCAAAACGCGCCAAAAATGATTCAAACCATTTTTACTGTTTTTTGTTAAATAAACTGTTTTTACTGTTCTAAATATACCGCTATCATTACAGGTTTATGTCACCATTCATTCAGATTGAAAAATGATAATACTAATACTATCTGGCTACAAAACCGTTGAAATTTTAGAGATGGACTCATAGAAAAAAATTAAGACTAGTCTTTTTCATAAAATAATAATTACGCTACTCCTGTTTTTTCATTTTTCTTTTTTGACAAACCATACGTAAAATCAACTTTGAATTATTGGAAAGCTGAAAGCATAAAAGAAAGATACTAAGGATATGACTCGTGGACCAAATAGTCAAATAATTCTCTACTAATTTTACCAATCAAAAGGAATCGAATTGGAAATTTTATCCTCAGGAACAAAAAAGAGGAAAAACAAAATTTATATTTGTATTCATGTACACAAATCTTTCCTCTAACTTAAAAAAATTTCCCATTTTTAACTGTTGAATATTTTCATTTCCTCTTCATTTTTCTTCTTCTTTCTGATGCCAATAATTTACTCTAAAAATTATACCTCAGTACGTAATCAGAAAAATGTCGTGGACTATAACTCACCAGCAATATCTGATTAGCAAACAAAAATATTAATAATAAATCATAAAACGTGAATCCCGTTTATATAAGTATGTACTATATATATAGCCGCCACTCGCCAGAATCCAAAAGACCTACAAACACTATAGACTACACACAAGCCATAACATCCTCAAAAAAATTCATGGACTCGTCTCGAAATGACGGCGTTTACCAACACCTTCTCCAACCTCACCCCGATGCAGCATCACATCCTTCTCCGTCGACGGAATCGAGCAACGGCGAGCTAGAGAGAGTCCTTTCCGACGTGGAAACTCCTCTGTTTCCCCGCCTACGTAAAGCCACGATGATCGAGTCAAAGATGCTTATCAAGCTCGCTGCGCCTACCGTCACGGTCTACATGATAAACTACATCATGTCCATGTCCACTCAGATCTTCTCCGGCCATCTCGGAAACCTAGAACTCGCCGCCGCTTCCCTCGGCAACACCGGAATCCAAGTCTTCGCTTACGGTCTCTTGGTATGTACCTAAACCGTAATCATCTCCCGGTTTAGTTTTGCATGGTTATGTTTTTGAGATTTGGAGATTGAAATTTGTAGCTAGGGATGGGGAGTGCGGTGGAGACGCTGTGTGGACAAGCGTACGGAGGAGGCAAATACGATATGCTCGGCGTTTATCTCCAGAGATCCACCATACTGCTCTCTCTCACCGGCATCCTCCTCACGTTAATCTACGTTTTCTCAGAGCAGATTTTGCTTTTCCTGGGGGAGTCGCCGGAAATAGCTTCCGCCGCGTCTCTCTTCGTCTACGGTTTAATCCCGCAAATCTTCGCCTACGCAGCGAATTTTCCGATCCAGAAGTTCCTCCAGGCGCAAAGCATCGTTGCTCCGAGCGCTTACATAGCAACCGCCACTCTATTCGTCCACCTTCTCCTAAGCTGGCTCGCGGTTTACAAGCTCGGTATGGGGCTGCTGGGAGCGTCGCTCGTGCTCAGTCTCTCGTGGTGGATTGTAGTGGTGGCTCAATTCCTTTACATCGTGATGAGTGAGAGGTGTCGTGATACGTGGAGAGGATTCAGTGTGCAAGCGTTCTCGGGGCTACCGAGTTTCTTTAGACTCTCCGCCGCCTCCGCCGTGATGCTCTGCCTTGAGACTTGGTATTTTCAGGTCCTCGTTTTACTCGCCGGACTTCTTGAGAATCCGGAGCTTGCTCTCGATTCCCTCTCCATTTGGTAAGTCTTTCTTGTAAAAAACATTTCGTTAGAACAATAATATTTGACTCTATAATTCACTAATAGGAAAATAATCTATTTTTTTGATAAAGGGAAAATAATCTATAGGTAAAGAAACAAAAAAATTCGTCCTACAAATCGAAGATTTTTTTTTTTGGGACATAAAAAAATAGTCATTAATATGTACATTTCTTTTCAGTTTTTCAAACAAAATGTACATTTCTTTTATGATTTAGCAGCGATAGTAATTTGTCGTCGTATGTTTAAAAATCAAGAAAACAAATCAATATTGTTTTTTATCTTGAAGTTTGACGTTAGTTATTAACTTTTCTGATAAATGATTTTGGAAATGATTCGATAACAGTTTTAGTACTGTCAAACGTCGACCAATATGGAAAGCTCAGAGCAAAACTTTCTAGTTGGAGAGTCCAAAAGCAAAATTTAGTTGTAGTAGATATGAAAGTTTGGTTAGTAGTGTGAGTGGCGAACAAATTTAATCTATGGTCAATGGTACATCAGTTTTCTTCTTTTTTTTTTTTTTTTTTTTTTGTCTTCTTCTTCAATATTAGAATTTTAGTTGTTTTAATATGACAATTTAAATAAATATGTGAATAATCTAACTGGAATTTGATTATGAAGTTAACTACTACGTGGAATCGAACAAACCATTCTTCTTTCTTCGTCCAATTATCGTATAAAAAACGTAACTATGCATCTTCTTCTTTACTTTTTCGAAGATATTATACAATAACATACCATTGATTAGAAGTTTTTACTAATATGGATATCTATTACGTCTTGGGAAGTCGTAGTAGAGTTTTCTATTTCTCTAAACTTCTGATTTCTCCGTTTCCAAACAGAAGATGCCACTCAATTTAGATAGATAGATGCTTGCACCAAATCAAGTTAGAATTCTCTTCTTCATTATAATTTATGTAAAAGTGACGGAAGCTGAAATCATATGTTGTATGAACACGAGCAGTGATTTCTTATTATATTACAAATGTTGATTTTTGTGTGGTACAGCATGACGATTTCAGGATGGGTGTTCATGATATCAGTTGGATTCAATGCAGCAATAAGGTCAGTTTTGTCCAAATTTCCCAACTCGATTTCTCTATCAAGTTTTAAATGTCTATATCTATCTACCCAATTTATGCCCCCAATAAATATATGGATTATTACACTTACACACTTAGATAATGCTATATCACATTGAACCATGTGCTCTCTTTCTAATTAAATTTGAGGAAGTGTGTAAATAATATATTGGTGTTATTTGATGTTGATCCAGTGTAAGAGTGAGCAATGAACTTGGAGCTAGGAACCCTAAATCAGCAGCGTTTTCTGTAATCATCGTCAACATTTATTCTTTAATCACAAGCATAATCTTAGCCATCGTTGTTTTGGTGTGTCGTAACGTTTTGAGCTATATCTTCACCGATGGTGAAAAAGTTGCGACTGCTGTTTCTGACCTTTGTCCACTTCTTGCCGTAACGCTTGTTCTAAATGGAATCCAACCCGTCCTCTCAGGTAATTCGTTATGTTTTGATTTTATACACCGCAATTTCTCAAACTGAAATAGTGGAAAAAAACGTTTTGAGTATGTTCTTTTGTTGCGATGATTTAAGGTGTGGCGGTTGGATGCGGTTGGCAAACATTTGTGGCGAAAGTTAACGTTGCATGTTACTACATTATTGGAGTTCCTCTTGGGGCTCTCTTTGGGTTTTATTTCAATTTTGGTGCCAAGGCAAGATAGTTTCTATTTATGTGTTTTACTAATGAACGGTTCTTGATATTAATTTATCAAACTAACTAAAGGCTAATAATCATAACGTTTTAAATTTGTGGATTTAACAGGGTATATGGACGGGGATGATATGTGGTACGCTTATACAAACGGTTATTTTGGCGTGGGTCACGTTTAGAACAGATTGGGTAAAAGAAGTAAGTAATCTCAAACATTTCAGCGCTACGTGTCTTCATCAGTATTTTAATTGATTCTATACAGTTTAGGAAAATTTGGATAATCTTTTGTTTTTTTTTTTTTTTTAAGAATAATTGGATTTTATGTTTGTTTCAGGTGGAAGAAGCTTCCAAAAGGTTGGACAAATGGAGCGACAAAAAACAAGATGTGGTTTCTGAATGATGTCGGTTGGTATCAAGATAAACCGAATTGGGTTGATCGGTTTGATGAAGCAAATCCAAATGCTTGTGATAAAACATGTATCACTTTTTTTGTCGGCTATCCTTTATTTTTATACATTTTTTGTTTTCTTTCTGTTTTTGCTAAAAATTCATATACAGGCAGCTTGATATAAGCTTTCAATACTTTGCGTCGTATATGTGTATACTGAAAAAGTGTGGCATCTGTAAGTTAAATATCAAATGCAACGAATGTAATCATCGATTTTTCGTTGAAAACCGATGCAGATGATCAAGTTAACCATATTATATATAGAAAAACTTTAAGAAAACTAAACAAGGACACACTAAAAAGCAACGTGTAGATCTTAATAAACATATATAACTAGAGTAATTTAAACGGTGGTATATGGACGGGACCATATTACATATTCTGGTCTTGGGTCAGACATTCGGACTACGGTCAGACTTCCTGCTCCTTTCACGTGAGCTTGTTAGCTTAGACCCGATGAGAAAAAAGTTAAGAGTAGTCTTTTTCATCATAATTAAGTTGCTCTAGATTTCATTTTGTTTAGGCGAATCAAATGTAAAATCAGCGAAACCGTAAAAGAAAGGTAATAACTAATAAGGATATGATTCGTCGACCAAACAGAGGGGAACAAATGCTAGACAAATAATTCTCTACTACAATCACAATGATGAAAATAGAAACTAATTCTCTTTATTCCATAAGGAAATAAAAATCAAACCAACGCACGAGAACAAATCAAGAGAAAAATTTAATCACTTCCTTATTGAGAGAAAAGAAAAAAAAAAATCCAATAATTTACACTACAAATTAAACCGGTAAAAAATATGAAAAATGACGTGGACTATATATCACACACAATCCATTATATTTATCCTACCATATTTTGGACTCCAAAAGACATACACAGCTACACTCCACTACACTACACTACACACAATCCAAATCCAATAATTTACACTACAAATTAAACCGGTAAAAAATATGAAAAATGACGTGGACTATATATCACACACAATCCATTATATTTATCCTACCATATTTTGGACTCCAAAAGACATACACAGCTACACTCCACTACACTACACTACACACAATCCATATTATGGACTCGTCTCGAAATGACGGCGTACCTCCTTCTCCGTCGTCGGAATCAAGAAACAGCGAACTAGAGAAAGTGCTTTCCGACGTTGAAAATCCTCTGTTTCCACGCCTACGTAAGGCGGCAATGATCGAGTCAAAGATGCTTATCAAACTCGCTGCTCCTGCCGTCATCGTCTACATGATAAACTATCTCATGTCCATGTCAACTCAAATCTTCTCCGGCCATCTTGGAAACCTCCAACTCGCCGCCGCTTCCCTCGGCAACACCGGAATCCAAGTCTTCGCTTACGGTCTCTTGGTATGTGCCTAAAACGTAATCATCTGTCGATTTTGTTTTGCATGATTATGTTTTTGAGATTTGAAGATCTGTAGCTAGGAATGGGGAGTGCGGTGGAGACGTTGTGTGGACAAGCCTTTGGAGGGAGAAGGTTCGAGATGCTCGGCGTTTATCTCCAGAGATCCACCATACTGCTCACTCTCACTGGCGTACTCCTCACGTTACTCTACGTCTTCTCCAAACCGATCTTGCTCTTTCTTGGAGAATCACCCGAAATCGCTTCCGCAGCATCTCTCTTCGTCTACGGCCTAATCCCTCAAATCTTCGCCTACGCGGTAAACTTCCCCATCCAGAAGTTTCTCCAGTCGCAAAGCATTGTGGCTCCGAGCGCTTACATCTCAACAGTCACTCTCTTCTTCCACCTTCTCTTTAGCTGGCTCGCTGTTTACAAGCTCGGGATGGGTTTACTCGGAGCGTCACTCGTGCTTAGTCTCTCGTGGTGGGTTATGGTGGTGGCTCAGTTCGTTTACATAGTGACGAGCAAGAGGTGTCGTGAGACGTGGAGAGGATTCAGTGTGCAAGCGTTCTCGGGGCTACCGAGTTTCTTCAAACTCTCTGCCGCCTCCGCCGTGATGCTCTGCCTTGAGACTTGGTATTTTCAGATCCTTGTTCTACTCGCCGGACTTCTCAAGAACCCGGAACTTGCTCTCGATTCTCTCTCCATTTGGTCAGTCTACTCTTTCCTGTCAAAGTATTTTCTTAAAACTTATTTTTTCATTCTAGGTAAAAACGCAGAGTTTAAGAATTTTTAATTTATTACATTAATAATAACATTTAATATCTAACTATACATAAATCAACCAATAAGAAAAAATACTGCAGAATTTTTTAGTAGTCACCAACAAGACTTTTAGCTGGATTGCAAAGAGAAAATTTGGTTAGTGCATGGTGGCGAACAAATTTATTCTATGGCCATTTAGATATAAGAATTATAATATCATTGGAATTTGATTACGAACGAAGTTATAGGTGGAATCGAACAAACCAAACGTATTTATTCTTCGGCCAGTTATCGAATAAAAAAATCACCATCTTCTTTTTTATCTTGTCGAAGAAATTATACCATGACATGTATAATGTATTGTGTTTGGGGGAGTCGTACTAGATTATTCTATTCCTCCAAAAGTTTTGAAATCATATTCTTGAAATTTGTGTGGTTCAGCATGACGATTTCAGGATGGGTGTTCATGATATCTGTTGGATACAATGCAGCAATAAGGTCTGTTATGTCCAAATTCCCAAAATGCTTTCTCTCATTTTCAATTATACTATCAAGTTTTAAATGTCTCTATCCCATTTTATTCTTACATTTAACACACTTTATTATTGCCATCATTTGACAAAAATTTGAGGGAGTGTAAAAAAGTGATGTTAATGATGTTGATCTAGTGTAAGAGTGAGCAATGAACTTGGAGCTGGGAACCCTAAATCAGCAGCTTTTTCTGTAATTATCGTCAACATTTATTCGTTCATCACAAGTGTGATCATAGCCATTGTAATTTTGACATGTCGTAACGTTTTGAGTTATGCGTTCACTGATGGTGAAAAAGTTGCGGCCGCTGTTTCCGACCTATGCCCACTTCTTGCCATAACACTTGTCTTGAATGGGATCCAACCAGTCCTTTCCGGTAAATCGTTATGTTTTCATACACCGCAATTTTCTCAAACCAAAATAAAGCAAAGTAGTATTTTGAATTTGTTCTTTTTTTGTGATGATTTAAGGTGTTGCGGTTGGATGTGGTTGGCAAACATTTGTGGCAAAAGTTAACGTCGGATGTTACTACATTATAGGAATTCCTCTTGGGGCTCTCTTTGGGTTTTATTTCAAGTTCGATGCCAAGGCAGGATAGTTTTCTTTGCTTTTCCACCTCATATAGTTTGCTATTTATTTGTTTTATTAATCAGTGATTCTTGTATTAATTTTATTATTGGGTCAGAACTCAGAATTCTTGTATTAATAATGAGACTAATTATATGTTAATCATAGCGTTTTAAATTTGTTGATTTTACAGGGTCTATGGACGGGGATGATATGTGGTACACTTATACAAACGGTTATTTTGGCGTGGGTCACGTTTCGAACAGACTGGACAAAAGAGGCAAGTAAACTCAAACGTTACAGCCACCGTGTCTTTGTTGGCCAACGTGTCTACATCTGTTCATTTGATTATACACTTTAAAGATAAACGGATAATCTTTATTATATAAAAAATTGGAATTTTATGCTGTGATAATTACGTGAAGAGTGACTTTATCACTTTGTAATTACAAGAAAAGAGACTTTCTGACTTGTGTTAAACTTTGGTGATGTGCAAAGTTTCTTTTACCCTTATGCAGTATTTTTTTCTTCACAACCAAAAGTCTTCATTCTCTCACCCTCACGATGGTCTCTCTCCAAATAACCAAAGTTTTCCTTCTCTTCTTCATAGACAACCTAATTAAGACTCTTCCCAAAATCCAAATTACATCAAAATCAACATTTATCTTCTTTATATAGTCAATGTTTTTTTCCTCATTCTCTTACTCTCTCTCAAATCCGCCGTGGATGATCAAACATCAACCTCCTCCTCCGTTTTCTCTATATATAACAAAGAAAGTTGATAAAGTCTATCTTCTTGTAAATGAGTCTTTTAATGTTTCAGGTGGAAGAAGCTTCCAAAAGATTGGACATATGGAGCGATAAGAAGAAACAAGAAGTGGATTTCGAATGATGAAAATTGGTGTATGTTTGGTACCCAATGAACCGGTTGGGTTGATCAGTTTTCACAAAACCGATATTTAAGCTAAAAAAATTGTATCCCTTATTCCCTATATATATATATAACCTGGTCTAAGCTTTCATTAAATTCTGTGATATCTGAATAATGAAAAGGTTGAACATATATAAGTTTGGTATCAAATGTGCCGATTGAATTATAAGTTATTGACCTATCCGAGGGATCAATTTATGCCCAAACATATACTCTTCTACGTATTAAACAAGAAAAAATACGTTTTTCTATATAAAATTTAGCGTAGACATGTTTCGTATCATTGTATGTAATTTTTTTTTAAAAAAATATGGAAGAAAAAATTTAGCGTTATTGACCCATCATACAATTTGTTGGCTTACCTCACTCTGAGAAAAATGACGTGTATTACACTTGGTAGCAATCATATCCGTTACCAAAAAAAAACCAAAATAATTATTTATTTATTTGTAATTTGTCTTTAGCCGCCACACTCCAAAAAGACCTCTATACACTGACCACACAATCCTAAAAACGAGAATCATCCCAACTGATTAAAAAAAAACACGAAACAAAACAACAGAGAAAAGTGAGTAAAAACCTCCGGCTTCTTCATGGATTCGTCTCAAAACGACGGCGCATACCAACCGCTTCTCCATCCTGCGGCCGATGGAACTGTACCACCACCACCGCCTCAACGTTCTCCGTCGACGGAATCGAGCACCGGCGATCTAGAGAGAGTCCTCACCGACGTAGAAACACCTTTGTTTCTCCGCCTTCGCAAAGCCACCATGATCGAGTCAAAGCTCCTCTTCAAACTCGCTGCACCTGCCGTCATCGTCTACATGATAAACTACCTCATGTCCATGTCCACTCAAATCTTCTCCGGCCATCTCGGTAACCTCGAACTCGCCGCCGCTTCCCTCGGTAACACCGGAATCCAAATCTTCGCCTACGGTCTCATGGTAACCCTAAAAATCCTACACCGCTTCGATTTCGTTATCATCTATGACTTGCATAAGTTTTTTAATTTTTTTTTTTTTTAAATCTGTAGCTAGGAATGGGAAGTGCGGTGGAGACGCTGTGTGGACAAGCTTTCGGCGGGAGAAAATACGAGATGCTCGGCATCTACCTCCAGAGATCCACGGTGTTGCTAACTCTCACCGGCGTACTCCTCACTTTAATCTACGTCTTCTCCAAAGCGATCTTGCTTTTCCTCGGAGAGTCGCCGGAGATCGCTTCCGCCGCGTCTCTCTTCGTCTACGGCCTTATACCTCAAATCTTCGCCTACGCAGTTAACTTTCCGATCCAGAAGTTCCTCCAGTCGCAAAGCATCGTCGCTCCGAGCGCTTACATCTCAACCGTCACTCTCTTCTTCCACCTTCTCTTCAGCTGGCTCGCTGTCTACAAGCTCGGGATGGGTTTGCTCGGAGCCTCGCTTGTGCTGAGTCTCTCGTGGTGGATTATAGTGTTGGCTCAGTTTGTTTACATCGTGATGAGTGAGAGGTGTCGTGAGACGTGGAGAGGATTCAGTGTGCAAGCTTTCTCGGGGCTGCCGAGTTTCTTTAGACTCTCCGCTGCCTCCGCCGTGATGCTTTGCCTTGAGACTTGGTATTTTCAGATCCTCGTTTTACTCGCCGGACTTCTCGAGAACCCCGAACTTGCTCTTGATTCTCTCTCCATTTGGTAAGTCTTTTTTCTAAAAATATTTCCTTCATATTATTACCAAAAAAAAAAAATTTATTTCCTTGATATATTATTTGACACGTTTATTTCGTTATGAATCAGTGTAGCATAAAAATATAGATTTTTAGCTATAATTAGAAAATAATATGTAGTACAAAGGAAAGTTAATTTCCTCCTATATACAGTAATTTGACTATAATTTTATTTCCTTTTTACGTCCAAATAGACAATAACGTGAAATGATTTAACATAGCCTATGTTTACATTGGTTATATAGGCTTTTCTTGAAATTCGAAGTTAATATGTATGGTTATAGACTATTCCGATGATTGATTTATGAAGTGATTTGACAACACTTTTAGTATTATTCGATATGAAAAGCATAGAAACAAAACTTTTCTAGGAGAGTACAAAGCGAAGTTTGGTTGTATATATGAAAGTTTAGTTAGTGGCCAACAATTTTGACACTTCTCTTCTGCTACAGAAATAATCTATGGTTACATCACATTTTTCTCACTTTTTTGTCTTCTTCTTGAATATTATTAGTTTTTCGTCATATGAGGATTGAAAATACGAATACTTAATTGTAGTTTAAATATGAAGTTATCTAATTGGAATGGATGAAAACATTCTTTCTTCGTCCAATCATCGGATAAAAAGCTCTGCATCTTTGTTCTTTATTTTGTCGAAAATATTATACAATATTCTGCCACTAATTGAATGAAATGAATCTATTGCTCCTGGGGAGTCGTACGTACTAGATAGGAGTATTTATAATTTCCTCAGAAAGTTAATTTGTTCTCACCAAACATAGCCAGCCATTCAATTCGGGTAGTTGCACTTGCACCAATACAAGATCAACTTCGGCTTATAATACTATAATATTTTGATTATTAAATCTAAAAGGGAAAAGTTGAACATTGACAATGTTGTATGAACACAAGTAATAGTGGTTAATACTATAATTTTGTATGAACACAAGTAATAGTGAATAAATCGATGTTTTCTTACGATTATTATACAGTATAATTTTGTTTTTGTCTTTCAGCATGACAATTTCAGGTTGGGTGTTCATGATATCTGTTGGTTTCAATGCAGCGATAAGGTCTGTTTCGTCCCAACTCCCTATTCGCTTTCTTAATTGCTGTTAATTACATAATTTTAAAAATGTATCTCCATATTTATTCACCCCAAAAGAACATGTATTCTTACATTTAGTATTCTACACCCCACTCAAATTCGACCAAGTGTGTTAAAAAGTGGTGTTATTTGATGTTGATCCAGTGTAAGAGTGAGCAATGAACTTGGAGCTGGGAACCCTAAATCAGCAGCGTTTTCTGTGATCATCGTCAACATTTATTCTCTAATCACATGTGTGATCTTAGCCATAGTTATTTTGGCGTGTCGTAACATTTTGAGCTATGCGTTCACTGAGGGTGAAACAGTCTCGGCCGCAGTTTCTGATCTCTGTCCACTTCTTGCCGTAACACTTGTCTTAAATGGAATCCAACCCGTCCTTTCAGGTAAAATCCTTTTATTTTACACTTGCAAATCGAAATAATTGAGGAAAATAAATGTTTTGATTATCATTATTTTTTGTGTGAATTTTTAAGGTGTTGCGGTTGGCTGTGGTTGGCAAACGTTTGTGGCGAAAGTTAACGTCGGATGTTACTACATCATCGGAATTCCTCTTGGGGCTCTCTTTGGGTTTTACTTCGAGTTTGGTGCCAAGGTAAGCTTATCTTGCCTTTCACTTCAAAAGTAGTTACCCTTTACAATGATTCTTGAGTTAATAATGAGAGTAAATTTGTTGGTTTTACAGGGTATCTGGACGGGGATGATATGTGGTACGATTATACAAACGGTTATTTTGGGGTGGGTCACGTTTAGAACGGATTGGGTAAAAGAGGTTAGTAATCTCAAACATTTCAGCTACGGCGTCTAGTTTTCTAATGTATACACCTCTCTATTTCATTGATTTTATACACTTTAAGAATAATTGAATATTATGTTTGTCTCAGGTGGAAGAAGCTTCAAAAAGGTTGGACAAATGGAGCAACAAGAAACAAGAAGTAGTTTCCGAATGATAAAAGTTGATGTAACTTTAGTATATCTAGTGCGTCGATATTGTATCCATCGGCTTAAATGAGAAACCGATCCAAATGCTCAAGACAATTGGTAAGCTGGTACTGTAGGACATTGAGTTTATCCCCTTTTTTGTTAAAGAAAACTTATCCCTTAAACGTCTACAAATTGATCTAAGCTTTCATTAGTTTAAATATATATGCTAGCGTAAAATAAATATCATGTAGGTAATGTTTCTTAACTATGCCAAATTAAAATTGTTAATGTTATTATAACTCAACCTATGTTTAGCATGATTTATTATTGTATAGAACTACAAAAAGGATTTGAACTCCAATAATATACTCTCTCCACAACTCTCAACGGTATTTCTTAAATTTATCGGTACTGTTGATTTAAAAAAAAAATTGAAAATTTTATATCCTGTTATATTACGTTCTTTGATCTCAATATGAAGAATTCGTAAGATCAGAATTTGGTTGAAGGCAATTTTTATATTATATAGCACTTCGAACGTTTGATATATATGTAGCTAGAGTTTTAAGAGAATATAATGTGTATGAAAGATCGTATCGAATGAATCTCAACATTTAACATAAATATTGACTCTCGAATACGTCATGGACATTTATTTATTCCACATGTCATTCTTGACCAAAATCTCATCTAAAGATCCCATCCGAAGGGCAATTTATCTCATTTCTTTACCAAGATCTCATCATGGGTTCCATAAACTTTACGAAAGACATTAGTTAAGGTCTCGTTTTCTCCCTATATATCAATCATCATCAACCGGGTAAAACATCGCAAGTCTGCTCATGTGTGAAATAAAGAAAATGTTAGAACTAATAATTTTATATTATAAATGTAATATAATAAAATCGTACTCTCTTGTATCCTATTATTTTCGACATAATCTATATAATTTAGAGAAATAATACGTTTAATATTTATAAAGTTAGCAACACGTACATGTTGTTATGATAAAATAATGCAACTAAATAAGAAACCTACTAGAAATCACAATTTTTCGTTGACTTTCTCTCTCAATGAGAAACACGACGCAAGGACTATACTAGATCTCTGTATAAACAAGATCTGTTCAACAAACAAAAGCAAAAATAAACATAAAATATTTGTAAATTGTTTGTTGCCGCGCTATAAAAAAAAACACAAAAACACACTGAGAGAGAGAGAGATCAGATCGTAAAACTCTCTAGCATCTTCATGGACTCGTCTCAAAACGTTGACGTAAACCAAGCGCTTCTTCAGCCTCAGGCTGATCATGGAACGGTACCGAGCCACGGCGAGCTAGAGAGAGTGCTTTCCGACGTCGAAACTCCTCTCTTTCTCCGCCTACGTAAAGCTACGATGATCGAGTCAAAGCTCCTCTTCAAGCTCGCTGCACCTGCCGTCATAGTCTACATGATAAACTACCTCATGTCCATGTCCACTCAAATCTTCTCCGGCCATCTCGGTAACCTAGAGCTCGCAGCCGCTTCCCTTGGCAACACCGGAATCCAAATCTTCGCCTTTGGTCTCCTGGTACGTCCCTAACCTAATATGATCATTATTATTTTATTTTATTTTTTGGTGATCTTTTGAGATTTTGAAATTGGAAATTTGGAATTGATAGATAGGAATGGGGAGTGCGGTGGAGACGCTGTGTGGTCAAGCTTTCGGCGGGAAAAAATACGAGATGCTCGGCGTTTACCTCCAGAGATCCACCGTCCTACTCACTCTCACCGGCGTCCTCCTCACAGTAATCTACGTCTTCTCCAAGCCGATCTTGATCTTTCTAGGTCAATCTCCGGAAATTGCTTCCGCCGCATCTCTCTTCGTCTACGGTTTAATCCCTCAGATATTCGCCTACGCGGTCAACTTCCCGATCCAGAAGTTTCTCCAGTCGCAGAGCATCGTTGCTCCGAGCGCTTACATCGCAGCCGCCACTCTCTTCATCCACCTTCTCTTAAGCTGGCTCGCTGTCTACAAGCTCGGGATGGGTTTGCTAGGAGCGTCGCTTGCTCTCAGCTTCTCCTGGTGGATTATAGTGGTGGCTCAGTTTGTTTACATAGTGAAGAGCGAGAGGTGTCGTGAGACGTGGAGAGGATTCAGTGTGCAAGCGTTCTCGGGGCTGCCGAGTTTCTTCAAACTCTCCGCCGCCTCCGCCGTGATGCTCTGCCTTGAGTTTTGGTATTATCAGGTAGTGGTTCTCCTCGCCGGACTCCTAGAGAATCCGGAACTTGCTCTCGACTCACTCTCCATTTGGTAAGTCTTTCTTTCTGCTCCGTGTGATTCTTGAACGTGATCACACGAATAACTCATACCTATGGCTTTTGGGAAGAGTCAAACTTTCACAAGTTATTAAAACACATACATTTTATTTTTGTAAATTTCGTATCTTCAACAAAACAAAACATTTTTTTTTATTATCTTGAAATTCGACGTATTGAAATGATTGGACAACACTTTTATTTATTTTTTTATGTACAAAGCGAAAGAAAGTTGGTTGTAGTAGATATGAAAGTTCGTTCGGTTCGTGGCGGACAATGTTTTTTATTAATCTATGGTCACATCAGATTTCCTCTCTCTCTCTTTTTGTTTCTTCTTCTTGGATATGTTAATTTCCACGTGACATGTGGGTGGGGTTCATAATATATGAAAGATGAAACAAATTGGTTGATTTTTTTTGAATACCTAATTGGAATTTAGTAATGAAGTAATCTTTTTTTTTTTTTGTTCAAAAGTAATGAAGTAATCTAATACTTGCGTTTGGGGAGTACTATATTTTTTTTGTCTCCTAAAGTGCTGATTTCTGTGTTTCAGCATGACGATTGTAGGTTGGGTGTTCATGATATCCGTTGGATTCAATGCAGCGATAAGGTCTGTTTTGTATTCATATTATTCTTACATTCGTATTATATAAACTGAAACTGTCCCTATCCAATTTTATCCTCCCAAAAGTATATTGATTCTTACATTTACCAGCCAGTAAATTTACACCGAACACTGATCACTTCTTTTCCTATAAATCTAACGAATTGTGTACTAAAAAAAAAAATGGTCTTATGATGTTGATCTAGTGTAAGAGTGAGCAATGAACTTGGAGCTGGGAACCCTAAATCAGCAGCGTTTTCTGTGATCATCGTCAATATTTATTCATTTACCGCAACTGTGATCGTCGCCATTGTTCTTTTGGCATGCCGTGACGTTTTGAGTTATGCATTTACTGATGGTGAAAAAGTTGCGGCCGCGGTTTCTGACCTCTGCCCGCTTATGGCCCTAACACTTGTCCTCAATGGAATCCAACCCGTTTTCTCTGGTAAAATCCTTTTGTTTTACACACCGGCGCAAACCCATATACTGAAAAAATTATTTTAATTTCAAACAAACAAAAAAAATGTTATCAAACAAAAGTTTTGAAAATTTTCATTAAATTTATATTTTGTGATTTTCTTAAGGTGTGGCGGTTGGATGTGGTTGGCAAACGTTTGTGGCGAAGGTTAACGTCGGATGTTACTACATCATCGGAATTCCACTTGGGGCTATATTTGGGTTTTACTTCAAGTTCGGTGCCAAGGCAAGATACTTTTCTCACTTCAAATACTTACCATTTAACCATTTAGTATCCAATAATTCTTGTTTTAGTAGTGATCAGCTAATATATGGTAGCGTTTAAATTTGTTGATATTACAGGGTATATGGACGGGAATGCTCTGTGGTACGCTTATACAAACGGTTATTTTGGCGTGGGTCACGTTTAGAACAGATTGGGTAAAAGAAGTAAGTAATCTCAAACATTTTAGCCACAAGGCCTGCGTTTGCCTACGTGCATTTTGCATTGATTTTATACACTTCAAGAACAATTGGATATTTTTTTGTTTCAGGTGGAAGAAGCTTCCAAAAGATTGGACATATGGAGCGACAAGAAACGAGAAGTAGTTTCCGAATGATGAAAGTTGATCTATGTTTAATAGCCAATGAACAGTTTGGGTTGATTGTTTTTTCATATGTCTAAGATGTATTTTTTCCTCTCTTATTCCTACACAACTTTGATCTAAGCTTTCATTTATTTATGTACTTAGATAAATTTAATAAGTAAGTGATGTCGTAGGCCAAATTGAAATGGTTATTGCTTTACTATGTATTGACTCTTGCAGTCTTGCATATGCCTCTCCATAATCCTAATGTCTTCGACATATATCTCTTAGTTTATTTTGTTAGATATCACTGATAAGTTTCAGTTTAGTGATAGTTTGGTATATCGTTCAAATGAATGCGATGTTCATTTTTATTGTTGAAAAATTTACAAGTTTGAATGTGGAAGAAGCTAAAAATTGGGACAGGTCTGGACCCAATATTATGGGCCTAAGTTAACTGAGAATTAGTAAAATCAGTCCAGCTCGTTTGCGTTGAGACAGAAAATTTGGAGTTGATCATTCGATATACATAGTGTGACATGGTGGTTCTCACATTTTGAGAAATCGAATTTTAAAAGCTATCCATCATGTTTCTTAGAAATATAACAACCCATTATAAGCAAGAAAGTAGAAGACAATGTTTTGTTAGTTACTACTATAAAACTAATCACTAAAAATTTAGTAAATAGCTGGACAAGCCAATAATGGCCGCCACGTTACAAGTTAGTCAACACATTTACGCCTTATTTGTTGACCTCGTTTTTTTGTTCCTGGCAGAAACTTGGACACAATAGATAATTAAAACATTTGTATACTTATAATAATCGCATTATATTGAAGTTCGATATAATGTTTACTCCTTAATCCCTTTTCTAGAAAGCATCGAACGTTGGCCATTGATGATGACTGATGCGACATGTAGTTGTTTGATTTGGAAAGTCTAATGTAATCCCAACTTTAGCAAGTGACTCGAAACATTTAGCAGCCATTAATACAATGGGATAGTGCATTATGGTTTTAATAGATAATAAAACAGTTGTCGGAAACATGTCTTTGATTATGCCTCTTATCCTATTCGGGTGGTTTTATTAATTCACGTGGGTCTCAATTATCAACTCAAAAATCATCATTTGAGCCAACATTTTATAAACCGGATTAAATCAACAGCATTTGATTCTCCAATATCATTTGATTTGTTTATTCTTTACAATATTTGATAATGTCGTGAGAATCTTGAACCTTGTGCTTTACATTACTTCAACTTGTGATTCAATTCAACGAAATTATAAGAAGAAACCCAAATCTGCGTAATCATCCAAAAACATTGCTCACATGTGGTGGGTACATGAAGACACACAAAATCATTGCAGGCTTTGTTGCCAAATCTGAAAATGAACTCTCCTTACATAATGTTATTTGTCAAATAATTTTCAATCTAATATTTTGAATGATTATATTTTGATAGTTCATAGATTATTATAGTAAATTTAGAGATATTGTTCTGATTTGTTATTAAATTTTACAAACATATCACTTCCCTAAAGTACTATGGAATCGTTAAAACTTAAAACTCAATTGTCTCCAAATACACCCCCAAAAATTGTTTGGTTGAATACAAATCATTATAAATGTATGATCCTGAATACATCCCAAAATTATAACTATATAACTATTTGGTTTAATTTTCTCACCTTTTAATTCATACAAATCGATATATTTTTATATATTAAAAAAATCATACATAATTTTCAGTTTGTCAAAATAATCAAGCTAAAAATTCTAGAAATTCTGCATAGCACGTAATACAAGACTGATTTGATACGTCATTTTCGTATGTATTTTTAAATGTCAACTTTAGGCCCAGAAATGTATATGTGGTCGTCGTCGTCACATCACATCAAAAAAAAATCTTACCAGAAAAGTTCGTTGCCTCCTAATTTTTGTTTAAAAGCCTTTAAACTAATTAAAAATAGTAAATTTTAAATTAAAATCAGATAATTCATTATCATCTGAAAAAGCTTATTAAGTGTCGTCCCCTCCGAAAAAAGAGGAGGAAACACAGGAACCTAAAATCCCTCACGTATATTGCCTCTCTCTCTCCTTTCCTTTTTCTTCCATGGCCAAAATGGAACCTAGCAGCTTCTCTCTGGCCATCGCTCTTCAATCATCTTCTTGAAGCTGCTTCCTCCTACTTTCCTTAATTTCCGATTCTCCATCTTCTTCTTCCTCTTCCTCCTTTTTGTTTTCGTTCCGATTTTGAAAAAATTCTCCGATCTCTGTAATCAAATCGAGAGAGAGAGAAAATGGCTCAATCCTGCCTGAAAATCGTTCGGATCAACAATCTCAGGAGTAGAGTGAACCGTCGGATTTTGATTCTCCGTCGATTCACGCGGCTGCTTTGGAGTAGAATCGTCGCTTGCACTCCCGGGAAATCCAGGAGATATCTGTTGCTCTCTCGCGCCCTTCCGTCTCCGACTGTCTCTCGTCCCCAGCCTCCTCCTCCGGTCCCCGCCGTGGACGTCGTTGGCGGTGCTGGTGGTGAATTAATCGTACGCCACACACCGGTGTACGACCGCGATAACAGCCACCGGAGATCGGATTCCGATCTGGTTTCCCTGAAGATCAGCCTCTTAGGAGATCCCGAAATCGGAAAAACTAGCTTCCTGGTTAGTTTACAACACCGAATCAAAATCATTCACGTCTCTTTCAATTTCGATTCAAAAGTTGAAAATCCCTAAAAATTCGGTTTCCGTCACAATCATCCCAATTTTTCTCAGAAAACATTCGATCTGTCATTTTCGATTTTGAATTGATGAGACTTTTGTGTTGATTGATTTTTGATTAATCTGGAATTAAGCAAGATTAATCTGAATTTAGTTTGATTTTGAAATTTTGAAGACGAAATATGTTGGGGAAGAGAAAGAAGTAGAAATGATAGAATTGGAGAAAGGAATCAATTGTACGGATAAGACATTATCCATGGGAGGAGCTCGAATTTCCTATAGCATCTGGGAATTAGAAGGTAAATTTATCATCGTTAATCCATAAAAACTTGGAAGATTAATTAATTAGCTTAAGCTAATAAAGCTTAATTAACATTTTTTAACAAACAGGAGATGAGAAATCAAGGGATCAAATCCCTTTGGCCTGCAAAGACTCTGTAGCCATTCTCTTCATGTTCGATCTAACCAGTCGTTGCACACTTAACAGGTTGATTAATTTATTATTTACTGTTTATAACTAATTAACTTTGCAATTTGAAGCTAAGCTTGCTTTTATCTTTATCATTATGCAGTGTGATTAGCTGGTATCAACAAGCTAGAAAGTCTAATCAGGTAAAGATCTTTAAACATATCACACTAATCAAACTAATTAAAAAATCGAAACTTCATCTCTGATTAATGTTTGTGTGTTCATTCAGACGGCGATTCCAGTTATGGTAGGAACAAAGTTCGATGAGTTTATTCAGCTTCCTATTGATCTACAATGGACAATTGCTAGCCAGGTAACGTTTTTTAACCAATCATATGAATCAAATTTAGAAACAAATATATGCATTGAAACTCATTTTACATTGTGAATCTGTATGAACAGGCGAGAACATATGCGAAGGCTTTAAACGCGACGCTCTTCTTCTCAAGTGCTTCTTACAACATCAATGTAAATAAGATCTTCAAGTTTGTGACGGCGAAGCTATTCGACTTACCATGGACGGTGGAGAGAAATCTCACCATCGGAGAACCACTTATCGACTTCTAGCATCTTCAAAAAACGTATTTGTAGATAAACATTATAAAAGAAGCGAATCCGAGGATAGGCGTTTTTTTTTCTCTTTATCATTCACCGCTCCGGTCGCTGCCGTGGGACTGATCGGACCACCGTTTCTAGCCGTATTTAAAGCGAATTGGAGAGATGAGGCGGCGGAGATTTCGCCCGCTTTCTCCATTAGTATCTGTTTCTTTTTTTTAAAACCAACAAAGACGAAAAAAAAAGGAAAAACAGAGAAAAATGGTACTCGAGAGATAGAAAAAGTAAGAGAGGAGAGGAAAAAACAGAGTTCGTGATTTTTTTTTTTTCTTTTTCTTTGTGTAATTTTTCGTTTTCGGTTACCGCTGGAGAATTTTGGTTCCAGTAAATTCTAAATAGTAAATACCATTTCACTTTTCAGTTTTAACCTGTGATCTGTTATTACTCGATCTAAGTTTCAAGCTTATTACTGTGGAGGTAGAAAAAAGTTATATCTGTCTATATAAAGAATATGTGGTTCTTTGACTTTGAGGCATGATGTCAGTTCATATGAGGATGGAATGGATTTGAAACGAACAATCAAAAAATTTATGTCTGTCTCCATTTGAACTTTTGAATTCATCCGATCGCATTACTTTTATGTCACTACACTAGTTATGAAAAAATTCATGCTATTGGACCATATTATACTATTAAAAGTGTTTATTACACAAATTCTCCTTATAAAACTCTTCTATCATTTTGTATCTTATAAAACCATTTTTTTGTACTTTTGAACTTTCCTACTTTTTGGTTTTGAATGTTAGTGTCAGGAAGAACTTCGTCCATTTGCATAATTATTGTGTCACTCTACTTATTATAACAAAATTTCATGTTATTCGACTATTTTTACTACTAAAGAGTGGTAGGTTATGCAAATTCTCCCAATTAGAGTATTACAATACATCTTCAAGCCGACGACAGTCTCATCGTATTACATCACATGTTTCGTCATGTTTCTGCACATCACATCCAATAAGTACAAGTGTTATCATTCTGTAACGGCTAAACGATAAAAGATAGTCTTCTTTATTTGACGTTGCCATTTTCACGCAACATCAAAAGTGGCCAAGTTCAACGAACTTAACATTCCTCCTCCTCTATTTAACTTTGGTTGTATTAGAGTTAAAAATTAATATAACAAACATCAAATTACTTCTCTTTAACAACCTTGTTTCAACTATTCAAGTCTTTATTCCTTAAAGTAGCAAAAGAAATTCAGATGGCCACATCAGGAAAACGTTTTC